CTCAGGCAATCCACTCACCTCAGCCTCCCAAAGTGCTGGGATTACAGGCTGAACCACCGAACCCGGCTGTTTCCTTGTTTTTAGTAGAAGTCGCACTCTGTTGCCCAGGCTAGGCTCATGCAATCCTTCCACCTCAGCCTTCCAAGTAGCTGGAACTACAGGCACGTGCCACCACACCCAGCTCATTTTTTGATTTATTGTAAAGATGAGGTCTCACCAAGTTACCCAGGCTGGTCTGAAACACCTGAGCTCAGGTAATGCTCTCTCCTCTGCCTCCCAAAGTGCTGGGATTATAGGCGTGAGCCACCAAGCCCGGCTACCCCAGCTCATGTTAACTTCTCATACTAGTCCTAAGAAGTCTTTCCTGTTTCACAGATGAGGAAACTGAGGTTCAGAGCATACATCACTTACCCAAGTTTTCTAGAGGCAGTGAGTAACTGACCAAGTCCTGACCCTGTTCTGTCTGACTCCCTGTCTCCAGTACAGCTCATTGTTTTCAATCCATGTAAAAAAAGCACCTATGACCTAAAGGGATCTCCTCCTCCCACCTGTGCCCGCGCATCCAAACACACCTGGAAGTGGTGAAAGAGGCTCAAGCCAGGGCTTGGGGTCCTGGGTTGGGTCCTAGTCCTGGCTCTGCCGCTATGTGACTGTGATCAAATCCCTTCCCCTCTCTGGAGATTTCCCTCCTCACATGTAAAACAATCAGCTTGACCTCAGTAATATCAAAGCCCCTCCTCCGCCTACACATACACACTAATATTTTTAGAGTCTATACAAGCCCAGACCAACTCCCTGCACTCTCCACGGAGCCCTTCTTTTCTTCCTGCAGGGTCTGTCTGTGGTAAACTGGATCCAGATGGAGAGATTAAACCTAGCCCCCGAAAACATGAATGAATGAAGGGAAGCCCTCCCAGCATGGAAAAGAGAAATCTCTCACTATCAGCTGTTGGACTCATCAATAATCCAGGAGCCACTGTCAGTCTGATCTCTGCAGTGTCTTCATCAATATTTTAGCTCCTCCAGAGCTCTGTTCCTTAGCAACCACATCATCTATGCTCTCCAGGAGGGCTCCTGGACTGTGTGCTCCCTGCATTCCCCATCCTGTAGGTGCTGTCCCTTTTTGCTGTCAGGATTGGAGCCACTTATGCTGACCTGAGTGGGAAGCTCTGGTCCTCATGGCCCCCAGGGGTAATGCTGCATACAGGAGGCATGTATACATTAGGCAAGGGAGGAGGGGCTGGCTTGGCATATCAAAACTCATCTCCCTGGGCAGGAGCAGAGGGACAGGGAGGGAAATTTTGGAAGGAAGTGAAGGTATATCTGCCTGGCCTGCTTTTAGTTCTAGCATGCATTAGGGCTTGTCTTTGCCCCTGCCTCACCACAGGTGTGGGGAAGAGTAGTGTTTCTCCCTGTTTCCCCTGCCTTGCCAGGCCCAACTGCTATTTTCCTTTTGGCCCAGGTGCAGTAGAGGCTTGCCTCTTGCATCAGTTGAGACGCCGTGCCGCTGGCTTCCTGCGCAGTGACAAGATGGCAGCTCTATTCACCAAGGTGGGGAAGACGTGCCCGGTGGCTGGGGAGATTTGCCACAAGGTACAGGAGCTGCAGCAACAAGCAGTGGTCAGGTAAGCACGGGGCCAGCCCCTCCTTCCCCCTCCCTTCTGCTCTTCCCACTTGGCATTTATTACTTCTCAGGAAACGCACCTGAAGGTTGAATTCCTGAGCCTGTTTCTTGCAGGACCTCTGGGTGAGGGACCAATCTGAGGGTGGGGGGTGGCCCCTTGGGAGCACAAGGCCCTATCCCCCTCTTTCAGCTCCCTCCTCCATCCAGTCAATTATCTGTTCTACCGTCTTGTGGCACCAAGCCCCACCCCCAATGCCACCAATCTGGGGTTTACCCTTGGACCCTTGCACTCCTAAAGTCCTCCCTCTCTTTGCAGGAAACCCTCAGGGGGCAGCCAGGAGGCCCTGCGGAGACAGGGCTCAGCCAGCGGGAAGGCCCCAGCCCTCAGCCCACAGGCCTTGAAACACATATGGGTACACACAGCCCTCATCGAGAAAGTTCTTGACAGGGTTGTGCAGTACTTGGCTGAAAACTGCAGGTGACTATCCCATCCCCCAAGCAGCTCCTCCCCTGGCCCACCTCCTGAACATGCTTCAGTCCGCCCTTAGCATGCTTGACTGTCCATGGACAGCCTGTAGGCATGCCTCCATCTCCCCTTTCATCACCCCAAAAGCATAGACCACACCAGGCACCCCACTAAGCTCAGTCTCAGCCTCTTTCTTGGTGACTAATATCTGATCTTTGTGGGGATATCCCTACCTGGTGAGCTTGACTGTCCTGGAATGAGTCCAGGAATGCCAGCAGTTACACTGACTGTTTCCTGGCAGCAAGTACTACGAGAAGGAGGCATTACTGGCAGACCCTGTATTTGGCCCAATCCTGGCTTCTCTTCTAGGTAAGCCTGAGAGCATTGGTGCCTGTGCTGGGCCCATGGTGGCTGAGGGGCAGGTGCTGAGGGAATACCATCTAAGCTGGCTATCCCTGTCTCACAGTGGGACCCTGTGTCTTGGAATACACTAAGCTCAAGACAGCTGACCACTACTGGACTGACCCCTCTGCTGATGAGCTGGTCCAGAGGCATCGTATTCGGGGTCCCCCAAATCGCCAAGACTCCCCTGCAAAGCGCCCAGCCCTAGGAGTAGGTTTCCATCTCCCCATCCCTGGTGCTCATCCAGGCTATGTCCTGGGCCTGTAGGGAGGGAAAATTGGCCTCTCTCCAGGACAGGCCTTGCCCCAGGGTAGCAGCCACCCAGAAGAGCCTTCTCCCCACACTAGAACTTCCATAAATGCCAGGGGTCCATGCTGCTCCATGACTGGAGTGCAGAGGGTAGCTAAGAGCAAACAGGGCAGGAAGGACCCTGGGTTCATCCAGAGAGGGTCATCATGGAAACCTGAGGGTTCTCAAGTCCTAAGGCCGATTTCCTAAGTTTGGAGGCTGAGCCGTGGCTTTCTGCACAGATCCGGAAACGGCACTCAAGTGGCAGTGCATCAGAGGACAGGCTAGCTGCCTGTGCCCGTGAGTATGTGGAGTCCCTGCACCAGAACTCAAGAACGCGACTGCTCTATGGCAAGAACAATGTGCTGGTGCAGCCGGTAGGAAAACTTAATGCTACTGCTTCTTCCCTCTGTCTCCCTCTTTGGAGGTCCCAGAACTGGAAATCTGTAGCCATGTTCATTCCTTTCCTAAGGAGCTTGTCCAGAGAGAAGGGGGAGAATAGCCCTACCCCTAGCTATACTGTTTCATACAACTCATGCCCAGTCTTGAACTGGTGGGAGCCAGGGATGGCATCTGCTCTAGCTAACTGAGAACCAGACCATCCAGAAGTAGGAAAGGCAGCCAGCAGGCAGGGTGAATGCCCATCTTGGGTGTGGCTGGCCCAGGATGTACCTGGCATTCAGGAGGCTGACAAGAGAGAGCCATTGGCACCCAGCTGACCAGGGAGAGGAGATGCCCAGATCTGCCATGTGGCTCCTGTTCTTCCTTGCTTCTGCTCAGCCCCCAGTCTGGGACCCCACGACTAGACTAGCTTGGTCTCCCCTGCTCCCCCTTGGAGCTCATTTTTCATATGCCTTCCCTGAAAGCCTCTCAGCCCTTCATCATCTTTGTCTTCTGGTGTGTCTCCTGCCTATAGAAGGAGGACATGGAGGCTGTCCCTGGCTACCTTTCCCTGCACCAGTCTGCAGAGAGTCTAACTCTGAAGTGGACTCCCAACCAGCTCATGAACGGGACTCTTGGGGACTCCGAGCTGGAAAAGAGGTGGGGGCTTTGGGACTTGCTTCCAGGAACCAAGGAAGGGAGTTGGGGCTTGACCTCAGGCAGGGAGATGGAGACACAGCTTGCTCCAGGATGCAGGCCAAGAATAGCAGGAAGAGGCTGCCTGGAGTAATTCCCAAGCTCTCTAAGCCTGAGCCAAGCCTGGGCATGAAGAGGTTTGTCTGAGCCAAGCTCTGTGTAGCTGAGAGTGACAGGCTTTGTGCCATGAGGGCAGCATGGCGTTCAGAGAGACATTGCTGGCTGAGCTCACGTCTTGGCTATGGTCATCCATTCACAGTAATTTCAAAGGGTGGTAAGTCCAGGAGACAAGGAAGGCAGGATGGCAGATTTTGGGACACAGTGACACTAGTCTGGTTCCTTTCCAGTGTTTACTGGGACTATGCCCTGGTGGTGCCTTTCAGTCAGATCGTCTGCATCCACTGCCACCAGCAAAGTAAGCTTGCTTTGTCCCCAGCACAGGGGTGGGAAGGGAGAGGTTGCTTTCTCCCAGTCGTGCAGTGTACATGGGGCCTGTAAGACTTGTCCTCCTCCATTCCTATTAATGAGGCTCCTGGGCCACCCTGTAGTCCAACTGCCCTCCTCCTACCAGCCTGGGGAATCTGGCCAACAGGCCATGGTAATGGACTAGGAGGTCTCAAGAAGGATCCCAGCCTCACTTGCCAATGTTCACCCCCTCAGAGAATGGTGGCACACTTGTGCTGGTGAGCCAGGATGGCATCCAGAGGCCACCACTGCACTTCCCACAGGGAGGACACCTGCTGTCCTTTCTGTCCTGTCTGGAGAATGGGCTGCTGCCTCGAGGACAGCTAGAGCCCCCGCTGTGGACCCAGCAGGGGAAGGTACCTTAGGGCATGGGAGGTTCTGGGTGAAGTGCTGTGTGGGGTAGGTTCTCTGCCCGCCTCCCTTCCTTTCCCCACATGGAGTTCTTAGGAGCAGTCCTTGCATGGGACCCTGGATGGGACTCTGCCTTGGACTGGCTGACCACCTGCTCCTCCCTCTACAGGGGAAGGTGTTCCCCAAGCTACGGAAACGAAGCAGCTTGCGGTCTGTGGACATGGAGGGGATGGGCATGGGGCGGGCCACAGACTACGTGTTCCGGATCATCTACCCCGGGCACAGGCATGAGCACAGTGAGTGTCCCAAAACTTCATCCCTGGAGGACAGAAAGATGCTTAGGGAGGTGGAGGAGCATGGCATCACCCAGGAGGGGCAGCAGGCAGGATCCACTCACCAGACCAGGTTGCGACAAGAGGTTCATTGCTTAGCCTCTCAAAGGGATAATTTACCCACAAATTGTCCCTGTGAAAAGTTGTCTTTCTTCTACCTAGCTCTCTTCCCTCCCTCTTTGCCCCAAAACTCTTGGCCCAGCAGACCTAGGCATCACTGCGTAAGATTCTCTTACTCATCATTTTATATCCTGCCCCAGAAAAAAAAAATGTGGAGAGATAGAAATAGAAGGTAGATAACTCTCCATTTATCTTCAGCTTTCCCCCAACTCCCACAAGGTGGACTGGATGTGTGATTGGCACTTCTTTTCAGATAGTGCAAATTGTTCACTAACTCCCTTGGGCCAGAGCCCGCCTCACATTCACTACTGATGAAGGAGCTTTAGCTGAAGTAGGAGGTTGCATCTGAAGAGGATGAGTCTTGGAGCTGCCTGGGGACTTTGGGGGCTGGGGGACCTAAAAGTGGCTTGGCCCTCGTGACTCCTGCCCCACCCTGGACACATACCCCTGGGCCCAAGAGGGTCTACTGGCACCAAAGTTCCCTTTCTGGTCAGAGTCCCATTGCTACTCATAGATTTCTCTGGGCCAGAGTTGCTTTTCTTGAAGATAGGGTCAGTGAATTTTTCAGCCCAGAGCATTTATTGCCAACCAGACCATCTGCTCCCTGAATTTCCTAACTTGCACTGAAAAGTTGGATCTCCCTTCTCCTCCCAGATGTACCTGACAAGGAAACACATCTTTTGCCAGAATGTGTTTGCACACCCAGCACTGAACCATAAGCTATTTGCTTGGTTTAGCTTATTCAGTCTCTGCTTTCCCTCTTCAATCCTTGGCATTTCCCAATTCTGGTCACTTCACTTTAAGGACCACTTCCTCAGAGGGTTGGCCAGGGTACCAAGGAGCTAAAACTCAACCAGATGACCCTTGGGAGTGGCTCTCTAAAAACCCTTGGAGGAAAAGGTTGAATTTACAGTCTGTAAAGAGGGATTTGGATTAATCTTCAGATTTGGTCCATCCTGACCATGACAGTACCTGAAGAATGATCAGGACCCATCTGCCAACAGCCTCAGGCAAGGCTGGTGAGCTCCTGCCAGCCTGTCCCAGATAGTCCCTGTCTTTCACATCCCCCCTCAGTTCTCTCTCTTCCATTCTTCCTAAAGAGGGCCTCCTACAAAGAGTGGAGCTCTGCAGCTGTCCCCAGCCCCTCACCTTCTTCATACTCTCCCAAGAAAATCATCAAAAGAACTTTCCAGTGTCCTCCCTCTTTTATGCCCTGCAGGTTCAAGGTGATCCCAGCCTCCATTCCACTTACCTTAAGGAGGAAGTTCCTTCTGCCCAAGGATGAGGGTCCTCATGCCTCTGCCTCTCTCACTATTCTCTTTGAGCAGTCACTATTAACTACCACCACCTAGCGGCCAGCCGAGCGGCCTCGGTGGACGATGATGAGGAAGAGGAGGATAAACTACATGCGATGCTCTCAATGATCTGCTCGCGGAACCTCACAGCTCCCAATCCGATGAAAGGTTTTTATCCCTCCCCCTCTCCCTGACCCACCTCATCCCCCACCCCACCCCTCTGGGCCCACCTGCCACCCACCGCAGAGGCTCGAACAGCAGTGTTGGCATTAGGGGACTTGCACCCAGGGCAGGTCTCTTCTACTAGGTGGCAGATCAGGGAGCACAGAAGCAGGTCGGACAGGTACTGGCAAGAAATGGGGATGGCACAGAGCAAGTAGCTCTGGGCTGTAAGGAGGGAGCTTCATGTCTAAGAGGAAAGAGCATCCATTGATGGGAGGATCTGATTATCTGATTGCTTCTTTGAGACCCTGAATGGCTCTCTGGAAGGAGGGGGCTCCATGTCTGAGAGGGAAGAAGATTCACTGATGGGAAGGTCTGATTATCTGATTACCTCTTGGGAACCCTGAATGACTCTCTGAGCCCATTCTTACTCCTGGGGGTCATGCTGGCAAATGTCAGACAGTGATCTCTTTCTTTTTCTCCTGCTAATTGGAAATAACAACCTCTGGGCCTGTACTTCTGTCCACAGGTCATGTGGACAGTGAGTCCTGTGGGTCAGGTGAGGGGTTGGGGACCACCATGGGAAGAGACCTCAGGGCTCAGTCTTCCCAGCAGGCCTGAGGGTTCCTGCAGGCTGGCCTGGTACTTCAGCATGAAATCTAGAAGTATTTGCAGCATGGTATCCAGGAAGGGGCATAGGCTCAGGGTCTGGCAGTATGAATTCCTGCCCCAAATATGTCCTTGAAATGGTGTTGAACAAGTATTTCACCATCCCAAAGTTCAGTCTCCTCTGCTGTGCCAGGTGCTATGCCTGGGATATAAGACAGGTGTGTTCCTGCCCTCACAAACCTCAGAGTCCATGAATGCACAAGTCCCCATTGGAAATAACACAGTTCAGTGCTTTTAGCTCCTCAGTGTTCCTCTATCACCCATCTTTCTTAGCGCAGAGGTGGGCCTATAGTGAGGGACTCCCACTCTTTTTGGTGAGCATCGGCCAGAGGGCTGGTGAGGGCTAGGCAGGGTGCTCAAGGAAAGGTTTGTTAGGAAGAGGCTGAGGCCAGTTCTTTAGAGGCTAGGGGAACTTCCCATTCCCACCCGTTCCCATGCCACAGAATCAATTGCTTCCTCCTTTTTCCTGCCCCTGAATGCACAAGTCCCCATTGGAAATAACACAGTTCAGTGCTTTTAGCTCCTCAGTGTTCCTCTATCACCCATCTTTCTTAGCACAGAGGTGGGCCTATAGTGAGGGACTCCCACTCTTTTTGGTGAGCATCGGCCAGAGGGCTGGTGAGGGCTAGGCAGGGTGCTCAAGGAAAGGTTTGTTAGGAAGAGGCTGAGGCCAGTTCTTTAGAGGCTAGGGGAACTTCCCATTCCCACCCGTTCCCATGCCACAGAATCAATTGCTTCCTCCTTTTTCCTGCCCCTGCAGAAGGTGTCTTAAGAATATGTCAGACCAGGCACAGTGGCTCAAGCCTGTAATCCCAGCACTTTGGGAGGACAAGGTGAGGGGATTGCCTGAGCCCATGGGTTCGAGACCAGCCTGGGCAACTTGGTGAGACCTCATCCCTGCAATAAGTTTTTAAAAAATTAACTAGGTGTGGTAGCATGTACCTGTAGTTCCAGCTACTTGGAAGGCTGAGATGGAAGGATCGCCTGAGCCCAGCAGGTCGACGCTGGGGTGGCTGTGAGTGTGCCACTGTACTCCAGCCTGGGAGATGGAGTAAAACTCCAACTCAAAAAAAAAGAAAGAATATGTCACACTCTCTTTATGCTTTCACAAAGTTCTGCTAAGAAGCCAATCCCTTAGCCCAGATACTAAGCCAGTAAAATGAGTCTCCCCATCCCTGGACAGCCAGGTCTATGACTCAGAACACACCCAGCCAGCTTTCCCTTTTACTGCCACATGGCCTGCTTCCATGCCTACCCTTCCTCCCAGCCTTTCCAATATGAGTCTGTAGACCAGGCCCAGGTAGGAGCGTTCTACTTCTGATGTTTATTACCCGCACACACAGCTTCCATCTGGTGCCTTGCAAACCTGGACTTTGAGCTGTTACTTATTTACTAGTTAGCTGACTTTGAACAGCTTGAGAAGGTTAGCTCTGAGGGGGCCCAAGGAGCCCCTTCTTGACCCATGAACTGGTAGTCAGGATAGAGGCTGGAGGGTCTCAACAGAGATCTTGTCTTGGCAGACTTGGTGATAGAAAGCCTATTCCCAACTAGTCTTAGGGCTAAGGCCTCTGAAATCAGAGAAACTTCCAGACCCACTTTCAGAGGTCCAGAGTTCTTGGGACTTATCTGGGCATCCTCTTAGGGATCTCAGGGGCTAGACCAACCCATTATGCAGCTTCTGGACCCCAAATACCTGGGAAAGAAGAGGAGGCATAAGAACACAATCAACAGGTGGTTGGGGAGAAGAAATGGGGAATAGAAACCCCACACCTCCACTCCAGTCCATAATGACAACACTGTTGAGTAGTCCGTTCGGCCAGCCATTGCTTTTCAGGCCTGCAACATGCTTGACTTGTGCATGTGAATCAAGTGGTGGGATGTCCAGATTTCCTCTCCCTCCCTCCTCTCCCCTTCCTTTCCTGCTGCCTTCCCCCCACCCCCTACAGAGCAGAGATGCTATTCACTCTAATTCTGCTCCAGGCCAGGCACCTTTCACTCGGAGTCTTAGGGGCTGTGGGGTTCACCCACCCTGATTATTTTGCTTTACACTTTCCTCACGCTCAGAGGAGAGAGTCAGAGTCAAAGCTGACCCAGCAGATCCACCCTGTCCAGCCTGCTGCCCTCACCCAGTCACTCCAAAGCTCTAGCTGTCTGCACTGGGTTAATTCAAAGACACAGCATTCAGTGCTGGCTGGTTCAGCTCCTTCCTGGAGAATTAAGGTGAAGAGCATTGACCCAGGAGACTTGCCTTGGTTGGGCCCTGCTTTCTGGGCATGAGCTTGTTTTCCTTTGTGCCCACCCTCTGCCCTCTGCGCCTGTTACCCTTCCTGCCTGCCCACCTGCTGCCTGTTCCCTGCCTGGCTGGGCCTCCTCCCCAAGAACTGGCCTCTCTCCTGCCTGCTGCAGAGGCATGAGCTGGACTCCTGCCCTACCCTACCTGCACTTGTCTTCTTCCCTCTCTTTTCCCCAGAGTCTTGGGCATGGCTTGCAAACCCCCTCACTCCCAGAGCCGCAGCCCCACTCACCAAATATGTTCCCTTAATTTGCCTCCTGGTGGAGCTGAAGGGCCAGATAATCTATAAAATCCTCAGCCACAGGCCTGGGAAGGGAGCCTCGGCCAAGGCAGTCCCTGAGGGAACTGGAGGGAGCTCAGTTCAGCCTTCCCCGCCAAGGCACACCCAGAGCTGGAGTCTGGCCTCCACAAAACCAGGCCTAAGCCTGCTCCAGACTATGGTGGGCTAGGGCCCAGGCTGAGCAATGTCACCCCAGATTCACTGAGAAAGCCACCACCAAAAGAAGTCTGCTCAGCACAAACCGCTCTCTCTCTCTCTCTCTCTCTCTCTCTCTCTCTCTCTCTCTCTCTCTCTCTCTCCTTGTTCTTCATTCTTCTCTGCTCTTCTTCGCTCTCTTCCTCCTTCCTTGCGTCACCTCCTAGTCCTTCACTTCCTCCCCCAGTTTGCTTTATCTTTGTGCCTCACTGGACCTGCCAGAATCCCCCCATGAGCAGTGCCCTGTTCTACGTGGACCCTAGAAGCTCTCAGGGGTCTTGAGTTCTGATTCAGACTAGCTGGGCTCGCTGAGAAGGCTCTATCTTCTGGTGGTATAGATGTGTCCAAGGAGCCATCTTCTGAGGCTGCACCTGGCACATTCTCCTATGACTGGCATGTTGGATGGTGGGCCTCTGTGCCCAGCCACCACCCCTATTCCCACAGTAGCCTAGCACTAGGTCCTGGGAATTTTGCCCTTCCTTTCAGCTCTCTTTTGTGTTTCCAGGAGGCCAACCATGCTAAGTGTAGTCAGGCTAGGCAAGGATGGAAGAGAACTCAGAAAGGGCCCACATGAGCTGGCAGCAGGGGTGCCTGACCTGGGCAGGAAGCACTGTTCCTCCTTAGCCATTGGCCACCAGAAGAGCAACCCCCTCAGAAGAGCGAGGCTTACAGGATAGGTGGTTCAGGGATTCTTCAGGGAGTTTAAACAGTGGGAACTCCCCTGGAGGAGAGGGTTTAGAGTTTGAAGCATTCTAAGCACCTTCCAAAGCATTTCAGAGTTTGTTCAAGAGGCCCAAGCTGAATCCTTGAAAGCCAAGCTAGTTGGTGGCATTTTAGGGAGCTCAGGCCTTTATTGTTCCTTCTTTCCCTCCTTCTAGAAAAGCAAGTGTTTGCTGGTTGTGAGATAGAGATAGCCACAATCATCCACAATTCAGTCCAAGTATTTTATCACATGCAGAAAGATGTCTTGTTGACCCTTTGCAGACTTGCTGGAGGCTGGGAAGTGCCAGGTACCCTCCTTCCCTACCACTTCCATCTCTGGACTCTGGACCAGGCAGGCACCACCTCTGTGGTTTTCCACCAAAGGGTGACTTCATGCTGCAGCTCTGGGCACAGAGGTGGACATGCTGCAGGGTGCTTGGGAGAGGAGGCCTATCAGGCCCTGACCATGGCTCCCTTCTTGCCCTCAGATGCTGGTGACATGATCGAGATGCAGGGCTTTGGGCCCAGCCTACCAGCCTGGCACCTGGAGCCTCTGTGCAGTCAGGGCTCCTCCTGCCTTTCCTGCTCTTCCTTCAACTTCCCATATGCAACACCCAGCCACTGCAGCTGTGTCCCCGACCGGTGAGTAGGCAGGGCACAGCACCAGCTTCCTGTTAGCATGTCCATCCATGGGTGTATCCACCTGTCCTCAGAGGCTGTGTCACTTGCATGACAGGGTGGCCTCTAGAGTTGGGCAGACTTGGGTTCAAATTTCACTTCTGCACCCATGCGACATTTCTAAATTACTGATTCACTGTGAGTCTCTACATTTCTGAGCCCCAGTTTCCTCATCTGTAAAATGGAGATAATACCATCTGCTGCTTGAGGTATTTGTGAGGATAAAATGAAATACAACTCATGTGAATGTCCAGAGTTGTGCCTGGCACACAATAGGTGCTCAGTACTTTTGAGCTCTCCCTCCTGATATGGACACAGATCCTGCTGCCAGGCTGTACATCTGTAGACACTCAACAGATATCTGGGCATCTGCCTTAAGCCAGGAACAATAGTGAATGGCCTTTGTGTGAGATGTTCTCTTTTACCTGTTTCAAGGCACTTTTTTTTTTTGAGTCAGAGTCTCACTCTGTTACCCAGGCTGGAGTACAGTGGCATACTCATGGCCACTGAAGCCTTAACCTGCTGGGCTCAGGTGATCCTTCTGCCTCAGCCTTCCAAGTAGCTGAAACTACAAGCAAATGCCACCACTCCTGGCTAATTTTTTGATTCATTGCGGAGATGAGGTCTTGCCAAGTTGCCCAGGCTGGTCTTGAACCCTTGGGCTCAGGCAATCCTCTTGCCTCCGCCTCCCAATGTGCTGGAATTACTGGCGTGAGCTACTGCACCCGGCCTGTTACTTCATTTTTTATCTGTCATTCCCGATGACCCTCAGGTGGTTCTCTCCATTTTCACACAAGGAAACCAAGATCCACTAAAATGAAGTTAGTTGTCCAAGATCCCTGGGTGGCTGGGGGCAGACAGGGCCCCAGTAGCTCTGTTCAGGGTGGCTGCCAGGGACGGGGAGCCCACTGACATGCTGCTAGGCTGTGGATCCTACTCCCCGCGCCATCCTCAGTGCCCTACCTGCTCCCCAGGCCGAATGTCCTTGCTTCTCTTCTTCCTCCCACCAGAGGGGCCACAGCCCACTCCCCTCTGAGCCAGGCTGTTTCCACAGGTTGCCCCTCAGGCTACTGTGTGAGAGCATGAAGAGGCAGATTGTATCCCGGGCCTTCTACGGCTGTGAGTGTGGGGTGAGGTGGGGCTGTGAGGAGTTGGGTGATAAAGAAGGCACTTTGGTCATGGCCTCCTGTTGTCTACTGCAGGGCTGGCATACTGCCGCCACCTGTCCACAGTGCGTACCCACCTGTCAGCACTGGTGCATCACAACATTATCCCACCCGACCGGCCCCCGGGGGCCTCGGGAGGCCTCACCAAGGATGTGTGGAGCAAGTATCAGAAGGACAAAAAGGTGCAAACTCTGGGGTTCCAGGGCCAGAGGCCAAGCGAAGGGGCTAAGGTGGGCAGTAGTGAGTGTAAAGAAGCCTACTGCCGGGCTCGGCG